CGTACCTTTCGCCTTTGGCCTTGCGTGTTCAGGCCCGGGCCGAGGCATTCATCGCCTGCCTGCTGTTGCCTTTTTTTTTTTTGTTTGGGCCTTGGCACAATTGTAATTGTAAATTGGCTCAAGTCGAGTCGCAGTCAATGTTGATGTCGTCTCCGGGTAATTGGATACCAATGTGGCAACTGTTTGCTTTCCTTAGCCCACTGCTGGCCTTTGTTTCCAGCCGAAAATGCATTTGCGCCCAGCGTGAGGTCCATTCAGGACTCCGGACTCCGGACTCTGGTCTGGCCTGCACTGAGTGACTGACTTGATGGACATGCCGGGGGCCGTTCTGTTCAGAAACTAGCACGAACAATTTACATAGCCGCGGGCACAGTTTAGTCACACTTCAGTTGTCCCCATCCCCCCTGGACCCGGATCCTGGACCAAATGCCACACCCAGACCCGTAGCCATTCCGCTACGAGTGTGCACCACGTGCCGGTGCCGCACTCTCGTCAAAGGCAAACAAAAGCTTGACTTTTGGCGCCTTGAACCCAATCCTGGGGACCACACACGGTCAACAAAAGCTAACGGCACTTGGCCTCCCGACCAGGCCGACCAAAAAAAAAACGCCAGAAAGTATCGCCTTACTGCGATACACGAGTCCGAGTATATCGTATCGTATCGCATCGCATCGCAGCGCATCGTATCGTTCTCTCACTCATCGCATCATCAGCAAACATCATCCTTGGTCGGTCGGCTGTGAGAACCTTTTGACATTGGCGTGTGCCCTGCGAAGGCTGCGAAATGAAGCCCTTGGCCACCCTGTAGGTGGGATATATAAGGCATGAAATGGTTGAGTAAAGCGTTCAGCAGAGATATGAGTACAGAGCAGAGGTGTAATCTATATGCATCCCCCTATAGATGCTCGATAACTACAAATATGTTTAGGTTCTGCATAGGACAAAGATCGGGCATGTAAGCACAAAAAAGGGTTCCCAAAATATATATATTATCAATAGATTCTGTTCCATATATAAATACGTATGTCCCCCAGGGATTCCAAGTGGAATTTCAGTCTTCTTTTAGCACGAAGAGGGTATGACCGGAAAAATGCGTGGGTCTATGTTTATTTATATATTTGGTGTACTTAAGAAACAAGTCACAAAATTATTCTAATCTTATATATACCTTTAAATTGATTTTATATGATAAAAATGTTCTTAATCGTCAGTCAGATTTGTTCGATTTCTATCAGTAATCCCAACAGGACATCTATGGTACCTATATGTCCATTCTAATATCCCTACGTCTCCCTATCGCTATCCCTATCTACGTATCCCCTGGTACAGCGTAACAGGGTAACAGCGCAGTCGACCACGAATGGGAGCTGGTAGATTTCATGCCCCGTCTGATTGCCTTTTGCAGTTTGCACAGTTAGAATTGATTGAAAAACCGAAAACCGAAAACCGCAAATGCAATTGCAGAGCGAATTGCAAATCGAACGCATGCAAATTGGGCCGACTGTCCGCGGTGCCGCTTCGGAGGCAGGTTCAAAACCAGTAGCCGCCACCGCCGCCGAACGATGCCACCGATGCTCATGCCACAGCGGGGCCAGTAAGACCAGTTACGGTGCAGTGCAGTGTACAGTGCAGTGCCGTGCGGCAATTTGGCAGCGTTTAACTGGCGGCGACGACCGACAAATCGATTTTTCTGATCCCTGGCGCCACAAGGCCCATTTACAATAATTTAAAGGCAGCCGTCAGATGGGATCCGCTGGGCGAGAGCACGCCGAACAAAGGGTTTGGTGGGGTGGACTGGGTATTGATATAACCTTGTGTCCAGCATCAAAAGTATCCCCTTTGACCCGCTTGGCACACACATAAATTTCCTGTATGTCAACTTCCTGTACTTGGGCCTGGACCCATCCTCCTTCCGGCAAAGTCTAATTCGATAAACACACGCATTTAAGCGCACAAATTTATTGGTATCGGAAGCTCCAAACTCTCCCATTAGACCCCATTAGCCACCCCGACAGCGTCCCCGTTCCCATTCCACATTCCATATTACACATTTCGTATTCCGTTCCATTCCGTTCGATTCCGTTCGGAGCAGTGCGGCGCTTTGTGCGCAACAAATTGCCTGTGTAATGAAGCAGCATCTCTCATCCCGGCTGCTCCTGATCCTTGCAGTCCCCCGCAATCGCCTGCATCCTGTGACAAATTAGCCTCACAAAGAAGTCGATAGCAGCATAAAAAAAAGCCAAGTCAATGGCTGCGGACCCTGAGCAGAAAGTTGTCAATTAGCTGGAAAAGATTGCGACAACAATTCGGAAGGGAAAGCCCCAGGAACGAGAGAGGGCAAAGGCAATGTGGGTGCGGGATGTGGGTGTGGGGTGATGTGGGACGACGGCGAACGCATTGCAATTGCTTCCGGTGTGAAAGCACTTTGTCAGCTCGGATGCACAAAAGAAGCCACTGGCTCGGCAAACTTGGAGGGGAAACGTGGCCAAGGAATTACTTACGCGTACAATAGACGCAATCATTCAAACGAGTGATAAAAAAACGATGGCAATTGTCTGTCTAGCCCATGGGGATGATGGCGAAAGACAAAAAAGGAGGAGTTCTGAAATACAGAAATGCTGAGATAACTTTGGGTTATATTTGGCTAAAACTAGGGATATTCCCATACGATGATGATTTTCTGGATTTTTCTAAAGTTCGATTTTCACACATAAATTTCCCTTAAAGCCATTTAATATGGATTTCTCATATTTTAAAATTGTACAGTCACAAAAATTCTACTTCCATTATTTTTTAAGTAGAATTTTTTTAAATTCTTAAAAAAAAAACAATTCATTTCGAACAATTTTCCAAGAAAAATAAGTACAAAGTACAGTTTACCAGTTCTATTAATTAAGCTTTACAATTATTTACTTGGAATATGCATTTTTTTTTACTGAATTATCCATAAGGAGGACTGCCGGGCGACCGACTGAGGGCTGAGCCCCCGCACTCCTTTAGGAATCTAAGGAGATCAGAACTAAAGAGGTGTATCGCATGGTATAACGATATTGTACCATTGGGATAGCTTGTTGCATTATAAGAAATCGATCTTAGGGCAGTTGATAATAATTATCATAAGGGATTCGGTTGTCTGTTAAATTCTAAACGACACAATTTCTTAAAAGCATCAATACAAATACCAATATAAATATAATAATATTGCCATAAATTGTGCTTGCATAACACCCACATTTGACCCCAATTTAGCCGTCTTTTCAGCCCCCTTTGTTTGGGGGAATCAGGTTGGGTCGGGTCCGCTGTGAGGGTGGTTCGGGGGGGTAGCACCCCCACTGACACTTTGTTTGCCCAATCATCTGTGAGATGAAAACAATAATATGCAAATTTGAAGCTTAACCGCCGCACCGCCGCACCACCGCACCATTACACCATCTCCCACAACCCACAGACCACGGCCCACAACCCACGCCTAAGCTGCCCGTTGGGCCCGTCCATTGTGGCTGCGTTCTCAGTGAAAACTTTCGCACGGTCGGACGATTTGACGGGCCACTCATAAATTTATAAGTACTCCACTCCTCTCGCTCGAGGCACTCATAAAAATTTCAAATCGATGCGAAAAAAAAAGAACAAAATTGTAGATACTCGTCGTATATCGAGAAAGAATAACTGAAACCGAAGAAAAACCGCACCGAATAATCAATTTGTTACAGAGGCGTTATGCAGACGACGTCGTCGACGTCGTCGATGACTCCCAGGAAACTCTACGCACAAATCGCGGAACCCTCCGACACTTGACTTGGATGACGACGCAGGCACTTCACGCAGAGTCCCAAAGTCGACATTGATTCGGATTTGGATTTGGATGAGGCTGAGGATGAGGAAACGGTCCTGGGTTCGGTATTGTAGGGGTTGTGCGGCTGCGGCCCGCCACTCGAAGGCAACGCAAATTGAATTCGCTTAGCCGCAACCCCATAAATTAGAACATTAACATTGGCAACGGCCCAGGCCCAGGCCCAGACCCAGGCATAGTGACTGTGGCAGAGAGGGAAGGCAGAATGCAAAAATTGAAATTGTCATAAAAGTAGCGAAAATGGCAAGCGGCATGTAAACAGGCAAAACAAACAGCAACGGGGTAGGTACTCGTAGCACTACGAGCTAGAGATGGGAGCGTGATGGGAACCCATCACTCACGGCTGATCCGATCGGAGAAGTCAAAAGTTTGCCCCGAAAACAACAGACAAAGAGGCTTTGCTCTGGTACTGTGATAGTAACGAGTTGTGCGTGTGAGCCGGTGGTTGGTTTCCTTAAAAGAAAATTGTCACACAATACAAAGCCTCACTCATTAGTTCTATGAATATCTACTTGTATCAGTACAGGCTACAAAAGAACCCCTACCAGATGGGCAAGGGAGGATGGGGTTCTTAAACAGAGTGAGAAGAGGGAGATTCCTGGCTTTCCTGGTGGCCAAATCATGGGACTCTTCCCACTATACGTACCCGTTACACGTTCACTCCTTGGCAGTGATCACGCTCCCATCGCCAGGGCGATGTCGCCCTTCATCGACAGGGCAGAGGGTTGTTCTGGGCGAGGAGTCAATTAAAAGCGTTTCGGCGTCCGGCACTCGAACGGAAAGCGAGCGGCGTCTTGGGTCTGGAGTGGCCCGAGTCTTTCCGATTCTCTCTCGAGCTTCTCTCACTTGGCTCTCGGCACTTGGCTCTCGGCTCTTGGCAAATGTTAACAATTTCTAAGTGAGCAGTTTAATGGACCACAGACGCTTCCCAGGCCAAAAATGCAACAGTTTTTCGAGTTTCGAGTGCCCCTATCGAGTTCCCCTTGGGCTGTTTCCCTTTGTGGCTGGTTGCTTGGCTGCTCGGCTGCCTGCTCGTGTGTCAGCTCGCATTAGACTCAGGCTCGGGCTTGGGCTCGGGGAAAGTCCTTCAGCCCGAGAGAACAGTTGGAAAACAAAGGCCAGCTCGCTCATTCTCTTTTGGATTGCTCTTTTTTCTTTGCTTTATTATTACAACACACAATAGACGTCTTAAGACTAGGCACAAAAAAAGTTTTAAAAAATTATTGTTTGGAAAAAAAAAAATTTTCTTTTTTTTTGTTGCTGCTGCTGCTGCCGCTGCGCTGTTGTTGGTCTGCTTCGTATGTACAAAAATCATTTACAAAAATTTACAACATTTTCACTAGTCTAAGTTAATTTAAGTATACAATATATATGTAAAAAAAAAGTATTCTGTTTTCTCTTCACAATTACTGGGGCTGTTCCAAAAGATAGACGAAATCGGCAGATCGGGAAATCGGTTAATACTGAAAACTCTTCAATCGATTTCTGTTTGGAGTCAAAGAATCGACAGTTTTTATATCCTTGAATTTCAAGCAAATACCAACAAAAATCGACAAAGATACTCCCATTCCTCTCTGGATTCCTCTGTAGATATATTTTTTAGTATTTTATGAACATTTTAACACTCCATTGAAACAAATTTAAAGACCATCTCGTTCCGAACCAAAAAAAAAAAAAGAAAACAAAACATTCCGTAACATTTCGTAGGTCTTACTATAGATATCCCCCATGATGTTTAGACAGTTTGTGAGATCCAGCTTAGAGAGGAGCCCTTGGCTAGCTCATCAGACCTCCAGGGCCAGTTCTTCGTCGTCCTCGTCGTTCTCGTCGTGCTCCCGCTCCTGCTCGGCGCCGCTCCTGTGCCTGTGCTCCTCGTCGGCGGGAAGGGGAGAGCATCGCAGCAGCTTGAGGGGGGCTCCCCCCGGGAGATCCTCGACCTCGTTCATCCGCTCCCGCTCCCGGTCGCGGCGGGGCGGACTGCCCGGATTGAGGGGCGGGCTGGGCGTGAGCAGGCGCTGGCGACTGCTGCTGCTGCCCCGCTCGCAGTCCGCCTCGCTGTTGGCGCTCTGGCTGGTGGCCGGCGAGCGGTCGCGCGGCGGTATCAGCTGCTGCGGCGCCGGCTGAACAGTGGCCGCTGCTGCCGCTGCGGCCGCGTAGTAGCCGCTCAGCATGGGAGCAGCGCCGGGGGGCGGCGGGGGCATCCCGGGCAGCGACATGCCCGGCGGCATGCTGGTGGGGTACATGCGGTAGGAGGCGGGCATTGTGGGCTTCTGCAGGGCGGCGGCGGCCGCCGCCTGGCGGTAGTAGATATCGATGGCCGAGGGTGGGGCGCCGTGCGGGGACTGGGCGGCAGCGGCCGCCGCATATGGCCAGGCACTCAGATAGGGCGTGGCGCCTCCATACAGCCGCTGGAAGGCCGCGTAGTTGCCAGCCTCCGCCAGCAGTTCCAGGCCCACGGCCGTCTGGCGCTTCCACTTGGTTCTGCAACGAGGAAAGAACGATGAAAATGGCGATAAAGAAGAGTGGACAAAAAATAGAGGATGGAAAAGGGCAAGATGGAGAAGCAAGTCCTCTCCATTAATCATCATGGCCGGAGTACTGCCGAGTCACGGCTCGGAGCACGGAGTCCCGCTCGCATCTCCCGGCGGGGCGCCCGGGCAGCTCGGTCCTCCCCGACTGTTTATATTTCGCACTTAATTGTTTTGTCATTAATCTTGTGCCAGCCCACCGAAATGGCCCAACAAAAAATAATATCCAAAACTCTAAACCCAAAACGGAAAACGGAAAGCCGAGCCCTAATTGACAGCGTCCCGCCCCGCCCCGCGGCAGAGCTGTTTTCCTTATTTTTCTTCTCTTTTTTTGCAAATCCTTTAATTGTTCAAAGGCGCCAGGGCCCTTGACTGCAACTGAAACTAGAATTAGAACCAGGTCGAAAACCAGGGCCTTCTTTACACTTTTTGCGCATTCATCGCCCAAAGAAAGGAGCGGGAGAGGGAGAGAGCAGCTGTGAAGTGTTCTATCCGGAAAGGGACAGAAGGAGGAGCAGCAGAGGATATGTTGACTTTGGGATTGGATAATGGAAAGACTTTTGTTTTCCTTAACGCGCTCAAGTCGGTCCTTTCCTCAAGGCAAAAGACACCATGCAAAATCTCAAAAAATATTAAAAATAATACAATTTTTAACAAGAGTCTCCCTTAAGCTGTGGTACAGCCAGATCTTCAACAATTCTCAACGAATGAGAATATATTCTTTTGGTGGAACCTCTGAAGAAACCTCCCAGACAGCAGCACTCACATCCGGTTGCGTTTGGCTCCGTCAGGTGCTGTTTTGGCTGCTCTCCATCTACGTATAAGTATTGCACTAGCCCCTACTCCCCCCCGCAGATGTTGTTGTTGTTCATTGAAATAGTGACAAGTCATTGGGCAATAATTAAAACCGAAAATAAAATGCCAAAGCAGACAGAACGTTCGGGTAATAAGGCAGGCCAGCAGCCACTGAGAATCGAAAGACTTGGGCAACAAACTTGCACTGAGAGAAAAACGGCAAACGACGGTTGAAAATCGACACTATATCGATGATGGCAAAAAAGTAAACAACTCATTTAATAAACAGCCGACGAGATTTAACGACTTGCAGCGCAAAATGCAGCAAATTAAGTAATCAGCATAAAAACACTCCGCACAAAATGGATACCCGACTACTTGAAAACGGGAGGATGGGTATGGGGAAGATGAAGATGGGGATGCCGGCTGGATAGGCAGGGGGCTAGGGGTGGACAGACGCCATTAAAATGATTTTTATTGGAAAAGTGCGCGAAGAAATGGGCGCAACCCATTAAAGGCGCTGATTAGCGACCAGTCGGCCTGAGTGCCGCACTGGCGGCAATCAAGCGGCCGGACAAAGCCTCAAAGGGAGGCCGCTTCCACAGAGACAGGCATAGAGAAAGAGAGAGAGAGGGAGAGACCCACCTGCGATTCTGATACCAGGTTTTCACCTGGCAGTCGCTAAGCTCCAGTTTGTTGGCCAGCTCCATGCGGTCCTGGACGCTGAGGTATTTCTGCCGCTCGAAGGACTTCTCCAGCGTCTGCAGCTGGTGGTCTGTGAAGGCGGTGCGTGCCTTGCGCTGCTTCTTGCTCAGACTGAGGCTCAGGTGGGACGAGGAGTCGCCGTTGGCGGAGCTGCCGTTCTTCAGGCTGTCCTCCCCATCATCGTCTTTGCCACCTGAATGGATACAAGAATAATTATTAATAGGTAATGTCTTGGATTAGCTCTGAATGTTCCACAAACAATAAATACGAGTATATACATCATTTGTGGGATCTAAGGGCACAACGTACCCTGCAATTGGTATCTTTTTCCCTCCTGCTCCTCCTTCCCCCACCCTCATCCCAGACTAGTACAAAAAATAGCCCACTCTCGGATCGGACATCTCGGATCCACATATTTGCAATTTTCTGCAACATTTAAGCGCTTTTGAGTTCCTTTTATGACCAACTCACATGCAACAAGAGCAACTGCCACTGCCACTGGCACTGCCACGCTGCCACGCTGCCACAGACCATGTTCGGATGTGGCAACATTGTTGTTGCCGCTCCGGCTGTCCGAATGCCTTTTGCTAATTTGCAATTAAACAGTTTATGAGCACAAATTACAACAACAACAACAGCCACAGACAATTATCAGCATTACTTTGATGGATGGGATAGTGTACAGTGAACACTGGCGCTGGCAACAGGGGTACATACCCAGGGGGTAGACTCCTTCTGGAGGCTCCTTCAACGGAGCGGAAGCCCTGCTCAGGGGATGGCTTGATCTACCGAATATGTCCTCTATATGGCATGGATCTCCAAGGGTAGGTGTATTCTCATCCATGCATTTCTCTCAGTGTACGTTTTGGAGTTAGTTCAACTTGAAAATCTGTTGAAATCTTTTGTACTTTGTTGAATGTTTCTCTAATAACCTCTCTCCGACACACCCCATCTCTGCTCCAGTGGATACTCTGTACTTATCCATCCCCCCCACCCCATGGCATGTCTCTCCTCCCCCTCTCTCTCTCTCTCCGTCTCTATCTATCTGTATCTCTCGCTGTGTTTGGAGTACTCCTCCATTAACGTCCATTCTCAGGTCTTGGAGAAAAGTCGGAGCTGCAAAGCATTTCCGCAATTTCTGTTCCACACTTTGCTGTTGAATGTGGTACTCATATGTTGATAGATAGCGCTTGTGGTGCTCCCTCTACCGGGTGCCTCTCCCCCCCCCTTTCGTCGTTCGCATTTGTAATTAAGTGCTTGTGGCTAAACTGTATTAAACATGCTTAAGTGTGCAGCGACGACTTCCTTTTGCGCTATCTGCGCTCTCACTGTCTGCCGCTTCGCTCTCCTTTCGCCCTGGCCTGTGCAATTTTTTATTTTATTTATGCTTGCATTTTAATTGCGCAACATCAGCAGCAGCAGCAGCAACAACTATGAGAAGCGGCAAAAGAGCGTGTAGGAGAGCCGCAGAGAGAGGGGGAGAGAAACACAGTTGCAATTGGCCTTTTTGCATTTTAATTAAAGGCGATGCACCCTCGTGCTGGCCCTGGCCCTGCCTCTGGCTCCACCGCCTTGGCAGAACTATCGCTCTGCCTTTTGCCTCTCTGCCGTTTTCCTTTCTTTGTTGTTTCGTGGCTAAACGTTTATCAACATTTTGATAATGTTGGCGTTTAGTGCACTGAACAGAGTTGGACAGAGACAGAGACAGAGGGGGAGGGAGAGGCAGTGGCAGAGTCAGAGCTAACCTTATATAACGGTTGCTTGGCTCTCGTGTTGGCTGCATTATAATTTATAACCATAATTTATAGTTATAATGTTGTTATAATGCAGTTGGGTCTATGATTTAACATTTCCTTTCCAGCGCACAGAAAACCCAACGAAAATTGAATGCCCTGCCACTGAGAGAAGGCCGCATGGGTCTATAAACAAAGTCTGCCCAGAACGAAAAGAGAGTCTCTTTAAGCGATAATTATACAAGCCCAGATGCGAAGAACAATTTTAATATTCAATGAATCTATTAAATACTTGTTTTTCAAAGAGAATAGTCGAAGATAGGATGGAAATAGGATAGAATAGGTTAGGATGGCCCCTCGAAAAGGTTCTTCCATCTCCCGCCTGCAACAGAGACCATTTTCCTAGGGTATCCAACACCCACTGAGGACAGGGCGATGCAAGTCTTTGTATCCCAAGGGAAGAATGCGAGGCAAAAACAAAAGACTTGGGCAACGAACTTGGTTCGTACGTGGCGCACGTGAGCATTTATTTATTAATTTTTTTGTTGCTTTCCATTATGTGAATTAAGTGGATTTGCTTTTGTCTTTATCTTTATCTCGGTCTGCTGCTTCTTCTTGTCCGCCTTCAGGGGCTTGGAAGCCAAACAAAGAGTGGCATTCTTGAAATGCCTACAAATTCGGCCATACGAGTATACTCGCATGAAAGATGATTCCCCAAAATATCAATTTCAATTTGAAATCAATTTTTCCCTTTTTTTTTTGGTTGTGTTGTTGCTGTTGCTGATCCTTGGCACTTGATGGTGGGGCACGGAGGCATTGAGGCGGTAAAAGAAATGTGATTCAAGTGATTTCGCCTGCCCCTCGCCTGTCCGCCTGTTGGCCAGATCGATCAGTGAACAGTTCAGTGGGCAGGCGAGGGAACGGGAAAGGGAACGGGCACCAGCTTTTGGGTCAATTTCAAACGCGGCTATAAGCCAGTGACAACGATCCTTTTGGGCCATACAGAAGACTGAGAACGAGAGCCAGAAGAGCCGAAAGAGCCAGCAGAACAACAGCAACAACTGTCGCTCGCACGCGTCTCAAGTGACACGCGAGTGTTGTGTGGAGAGCTCTGATACCCCCAGACTCAAACACAGGCCCAGAGACACACTCGTACCCTCTCCCTCTCTCTCTCTCTCTCTGGTGGGCTTCGATTAAGCCGTTAAAAGCTGCGTTTTGGTTTTGTTTTTGAACGTAGGAAAACAAAGGCATGATGCGGATGAGTATCCCATTTATGAGACACCCTCTTAGGCACAAGAAGAACGAACAAAACCCTAGAATTGGCACATCGAAAAAGATTGTAGACTCCTCTAGTATTCGAGATTTTGTTGTAAAGTGAACAATCGGAACTTCCGATTCGAACACTCAGTTTTCTTCTTGAACTTCAATCATTAGTCCCTAAGTTTTCCTCATGGGGTATCAAAAGGTTGGGGCTTTCTTTCATATTTTGTTCCAAAGTCGAAGTCGCTCCGCGTGGGCCCTCCACATCAGTGAGAAAGAGACAGAATCAGAGCCCTGTCAATGGGAGTGTGTGTGTGTGCGTGTGTGTGTGTGTGTGTGTGCGTGTGTGTGTGTGTGTGTGTGTGCGTGTGTGTGGGTTGTGTTGTTGTCGTTCCGCCAGCAGATTAAAGTTGATTTTTATTTCTCGATTTTTATTTGTATTTATTCGAGGGATTTTCGTTTGTTTTCTTATTTTCTTTTTCGTTTGGCTTGTGTCTCAAATCGAAGCAATTTCGGTTTCGGAAAAATTGACAGCGGGATGTCAAAACAGAAGGGGGTCGGTCCGGTGGGGTCTTTGGTCCGCGTTGCAGGTCTTGATGAACCAGCGGATTCTTTGATTTAAGCTGCGCTTTCTGGCTATAATTTAATTTGTTAATTGATTTTGGCACAAGTCAAACAGACACACACGCAGACCGCAAAACAACTGTGAAAATTGTCCATGAAATTGCAGCAAATTATTGAGTATAAAAGAACAGATGGAAGAGATACTGAAACAAATCAAGGAACTAGATACAACTTAACCTACATACCTACTGCATACATATACAAGACAATTACTATATATTAAGCCAAAGAAGCACTTAATTGAACTCGAGGTTACGAGGCTTTCCCTCTGATAAAAATAGACGCAGACGGGTAGATGGACACACGGAAGAGTCGACCATCGTTAGAAAGAAAGACCATCTGTTCATATAGATATGTGTGTTGGCTTTATCTCAACATTCAAAAATATTTTAGGGCATACTTCTTAAAGACTTGCTTAGTTCCTTTCAGAAACATTCACCCCTTGAGAATATCTAACTATATTCCATGTAGGATCTACAAAATGTCTCCGTTCATAGCCCCAACAGACTCTCTCTCTCTCTGTATCTCTTGGCATTACTCTGAATTATATAGCCCCACAGAATCAATGGAAAAAAAATCAATTGCAAACGCACGATTACGACTATTTAATAGTAATTTGTCATAATTTGCATAACGTTTAAAAGCACTTAACAAGTAAACAAATAAAAGCGAGAATACTAAATAAAAACAAAACCGAAACTAGCAACAAAATCAATTAAATTTTTGCATGCAATGGGGAAAAATCAGGGGAGGAGAAGAGGGTATTGCCGTTGACAGTTTTGACTGGGAAATTATACGGGTATATACGAGTACGAAACGAAAAGTGTGCACTTTGTTAATCTGCTCGAGAGACCTGGCCGGCCGTCGACTCGCGGGCCACAGACACCTGCTTGTGCCTCTGCCCCAGCCCCAGCCCCAGCCCCTGGCCCAGCCTCAGCTCTATATTTATATCTATCCCCCCCTCTAGCCCCTGCACTCCACTTCTCGGCTGCCACTTGACTGGGCTGAGCGAGAGGCTTCCACTATCGGGCCAACATTTTCCCATTTCGATTCAGGCCCGGAGCTGCTGCCGCCGCTAACCGCATGCCACACAGTTCACAGTGGTTTCTGTGGCAGTTGTTGTTGCTGCAGTTATCTTACTTATTAGCCAACAACAGCCAGAACTGTTAGCGGCTTCACGCTGCACTCAATAGTAGGTCTCAGGCACTTGAAAATGCATCCACACACACAAAATCTCGACTGGATGGCATGAATTGTTTTCCAAAAACATTGGCAACCTATTGGGTATTTTCCTAATCATCTACCATTGTTGGATGATATGATAAATGGCAGATAGATGGCTAAAACATCATTGCAGTTGAGGACATTTTCTCTCAAAAGATTCCCTTGGGAGATATGAATAATTTTCTTTTTCTTGACTATTAAAACTTAGGAGATCTGAAGTTCTGAATTCCCCATTAATTTATTACGTACGATCCATCGCTAAATGTTCAATTTCAATTAGTGATTGGTCACCTACCATTTTTCTTTTGATTCCTAAACAACTTCCCAGTTTTCCTAGTTTCTAAAAATGTGCATAATCCCTGCATAATTTCACAATTCCAATGCTATGTTATCTATGTTATGCCATGTTTTTTTGTTATCCTCGTATCCTATTCAAATATATACAGCACCAGAATTGACTGCTCACCAAATATTGTATATAGGAATATACAATTCCTCAATATTCCCTACTTATATCTATTCCGTCCCTCATTCCTGTATTCAGATTCTAAGTATTCAAACTGAGGTTTGGTTTCCCAATTCGATTTCTTTGATTAGGAATATAGTAACTCACTTGAACTCGATAAATATACAAAATATTAACCAAGTAAATGAATGAACTTTATAGATCTCAAATATGTTTGCTTTTCTAATCTATAATTACTAAAAAATAAATAAATCCTTTCCTTCCTCAGAACTCTATAAGTATATCTACAGATAAATTCTCTATCGCCACAGATGTATCTCTATTGACCTGTATCCCTATCGTCTTCCGATTTCGATATCGATACCGATTCCGATTCTCACTTACCACAATCGTCGCTATCGCTGTCGTCGATGGTGCTGGCCTGGTCGCCGCTGATGCTGCTTCCCGCTCCTCCAAGCATCATTCCGCTTCCACTCCCATTATTATTATTATTATTGTTGTTGTTGTTGTTGCTGTTAGAACTATTGTTGTTGTTGTTGTTGGTGGTGGAGCTGCTGTTGTTATTGTTGTTGTTGTTTCCAATTTGTTGCAACATCAACGGGGACCGTGATCGCTCATCGTGATGGGGATGAGCCGCATGGTGGAGATGCTGATTGTGATGGGGCTCCAGATGGACTCCCGCCCCCACTGCCACTCCATGCCGGTGCAGGGCCTCCAGTCGTTCCCGCTCTAGCTGCTGCTGGAGGTGGTGCGGATGCGGATGTTGCTGCTGCTGCTGTTGCTGTTGCTGCTGTTGGAGCACGGCGTAGTGGGAGGGCGGAAAGTGGGCCAGCAGATGGGGCGCCATCTGATGGTGGTAGCCCAGTGCGGGATTCGCTGGCGGGGAGTGGCGCTCCCTGAAGTGTTCTCGCTCCCGCTCCCTCTCCCGCTCCCGTTCCCTTTCCCGCTCGAAGCGCAGGAGCTGCTGCTGTTGCACGATGTACTGCTGGAGGGCGGCTTGCTGATGCTGTTGCTGCTGCTGCTGGTGATGATGATGGGCGGCCACCGCGGCAGCAGCCTGCTCTCGCTCCCGGTCCCGGTCCCGCTCCCGCTCCCTCTCCCTGCCGTAGCAATCGGTGTCGTGCCCCGAGGAGGCCGCTGCCATCGCAGCTGCCGCCGCCGCCGCTGCAGCAGCCGCGGCAGCCGCACTCCCAGCCAGAATGTCCGTGATCATGAAGCGGGAGCGCGTCGCCTGCGTGGTGGTGGTGCTGGTGGCATTGGGGCTAGTGGTGGCTATGGCCACGGCGCCACCTCCGGGCGGTGAATCGCGCGGCATGCCGCCGCCGACGGCAATGGCCGGACTGGGTGCTGTGCCAACGGGAGCTGCCGTTGCTGCGGACATTTCCGGTGGCATTGTGGTCATGTGTGTGTCTGCTCGCCCTGCTCCCTGTTCCCTGCTCCCTGCTTCTGCTGCCTGCTGCCTGCTCTCCCCCGCGCGCGCACACACTGCTCACTTTGTGGGGCACAACAACAAAAAAAATACTATATATCACACGCGCGTTTTCTTTCGAGTCAACTTTCAATGATTGTTGGGGCACCAAACTGGGCTTTCGTCTCTGCCACTCGATTACTGTTAATATCGCGAGTGTGTAATTTACTGTTACTGTTGTTGCTGGTGCTGCTGCCACTTCTGAAGTCGTAACTTGTCGTCTGCCTTGTCTGCTTGTCTGCCGCGAACCAGAGCCGGTGTGGACAACCGCTCGCCTGTGGATTTCGACCGAAACTGAAGCACGGACCCGGCTCAGTCACTCCACCAGGCCCGGCCCGGCCCGGACCGGTGGCAGCAGCAGCTGGCTTTCGGCGGCCGGCAGAAACCAGTTGTTGAGCCAGCCTCGGCCGCTCAGCCGCTCGGCCGCTCGCTCGCTCGAGCCACTCAGAGGTGCGCGGCCACCTGTCGTCGTCCCGCTCGCACTTGAGCACTCGAGCACTCGAGCACTCGAGCACTTGAGCTCTTGAGCACTGGGCCTGGCCAAGCGGGCCAACTCTTAGCGTGGTGAGTTCCGCTGACAGTGCTCTCTGCTCTCTGCTCTCGTTCTCTCTCGCCGACGGTTGTGTGTGGCTGGCTGGGCGCTCTCCTTCCTTCTGTGTCTATTGCCCGCATTTATTGGTCGTAATTGGCGGCAATTGACATTCATTAGGCTTCAATCAGCAGCAGCGTAGTTGTGTCTCTGTCGCGTGTGTCTGTCTCTCTGTCGCTCCATCTCTGTGTCTCTTTCGTGGTGAGTTTTCGCCTGGCAATGGCCGCGGACCACGGACCACGGACCACGGCCCAGATATAACGGTTACTTTTATGGCTCCAGGGCGAACGGCGTTTGTTCTCGATCCTAGGACTAGCGCTGGTGGTAATTATCCGCAAAAATTATTAATTTATTTTTTAAAAATTATTCTGTCTACTTTCAGCGTTTAACTTTTTGATAATATTTCAATTTGAAATTTATTTGGTTTTATAAAAGTTTTTTCATGATTTTTGTTCAGTAAAATCCATTTTACATTGCAGCTGAATACAAAAATAAATGGTATTATTTAAGCGAAGTTTCTTCAGTGTAAAAGCAATTCAGGGGCTGTTTCCCTACAACATCCCCAACTGATGTACAGCTATCGATGGCTTGATCCTCAATCTTCAGCAAATGCATTCTGCCGCCATCCATAAACTTTTTATAGCAGCTGCGTGAACTCAACACTTTTATGGCTGGCAGGGGCCCCGTCGCTCTTCTCTAGCTGTTGCTGTCTCTGACGGACAGACAGACAGCAAGATGGATGGATGGATGGATGGATGGGATATGGGATGCTGTCAACCCTATTTCTCCAGGCCACGCCCCCTGAAACTGGTTCACTGTCATGACACACGCACACTCACACGCGCGGAGAGAGAGACATGCACACAATCAGAAAGAGATACACGGGACATGGTGGCAGAGCATAAATATATCTGACTCGCTCTTGCCCAAGGCATTGTCTTGCCAAATTCGCCTGCTATTTGGTCTCTCTCTCCCTGTCTCCCTGTCTCTCTGTCTCTCTCTCTCTCTCTCTGTCTTTCTAATTGTGGTTGTTGGTGTTTGTCTTTTGTTATTTTAGCGCTTGTTAACACTTTTTGTTTGGCATTTAAACAGTAAATTGGCAGCAGTTAAATGATGCCCGCTCTTCTCGCCCGCTCTCTTTCTATCCCCAGGCCCAGGCTGTCTCCCTCTAAGTGTGATAGTGTGTGTGTGTGTGTGTGCTGCCTTCCTGCTACTTCTGCTCCTTCGTCCTCTGTTGTATCGATGTCAATTTGCTGCCTAATGTGCAAGTGAATGACTCTCAGGCCTGGCAACTAGTTTATGGCTGCTCTGCTGCCCGGGCCAAGTGGTTCGAGGGGGAGGGGGAGGGGGTGAGGCCAGCCCCTGGCGCCTGGAGGCGGGTGCCCCGACCGCTGCTGCTGCATGTTGCTGCTCTTAAAAATGGCTTCATTACGAAGACAATGACAGCAATTGTCTGAAATTATTTGTTGCTGCTCAGGTCCTGCCTCCCCCTACTCCTCCCCCTCCCCAGTGGTTGCAGGTTCCTGTTTCAATGGCCATCGAAAATAGTTCCTGGAATGATCCGCTAACAATCTATCTACAGCTTTTATGAGCTGGCTAACAATGTGGGAATCGATCAAGGGGGGACGTGACGCGAAGCGGAAGGGTATTCATAAGGAAAAATATCCCTCTTCATCAGTTTATGTGGAGTGGGATGCTCTCTCAGCATTTTAATATCAAGGAGGTGGTGAAAATTTTCGCCAAAACGTCCACCAGGCACAAAAAAAAAATAATAAAATTATTAAAAATAAATAAAACCGATTTCTATCCCGATTTTATTTTTTAAATTTATTAAAAACTAACTTATCTAATCAATGAAAGTATGAAGTGTAACTATTTTATAATATTAATATAATAATAATTACAATAATTGCATAAATCTGATGTGAAAATCTTTTCAAATCGGCAAGAGTTTTTCTTATAGTAATTATTTGTTCCTATAATAAAAATGATTCTTGATAAATGGTATTCCACAGAGTTTATCCAAGATATCAAACCATAAAAAAATACCTCCAAATAGCCAGAGAAAATGCACCCGGGGATGGATAATGGAATAACTTGGAATTTTAGCACTCAATATTTAATTTGTTCGTACAAAAAATTGTATATATAGTCCCCAATCGATTCACAAAGTTTTTTCAATATTTTTAGGTGAATTTTAATTATTTTTGTAACATAAGGCCAGAATGGATGAAAAGTATTATTTAATATTAATATTCATAATGTAAAGGCTGTTCATTAAGTCATAAGAATACACATTTAATTATAATTTTTAGATCATATTAAGATCACAATTTTTAGTGCACCTTGCTTATGATATGACAGATGGAACTTAAGAGGAAAAAAATCAATCGAAATTCCTTAAATACAAGTATTCCATGAATAAATGGGAGAAATCACCGTTTCCAATGGTTTGCAAATTGTATTTTCCATTTATTCAAGCAAATACGAGTACCTTAGAGATTTTGTATCTATTTTTGCGATCGATTGATGTTCCAAAAAATTCAATATAATTTCGTAATTATTTCAGAAATATTCCATCTTCCCTACACATGTAGTCATGCTTGGATATCCCTGTTTCTGAGGGCTTAAAACACCGCCGGCTTTAGTACATCATTAATTAGATTCCCATAAAAATGTGACAACAATTTGTCTTGCAAGCTACCGCCTTCCCTCCTTCCCGCCTTCCCTCCTTCCTTCCTGCCTTCCAACTGCCTGTTAATGAGGCAGCTTGACTTTCGCCCCTTGGACACGAATTTTCCAGCTGGGGCCGCCATTTTGTTGAAGCGATACCTCCACCAACTAACGGCACTGGCTGCTCACCCAATGCAGCCCCCCATCCCCAAGGCAAAGCGAGAGATATTACACAGCACAGTGAAAATAAGTTAATTAAAGATGAGATGGAAGCGAGAGAGGAAAAAGAATTGCGATTGAAACGAAACTAAAATGCTCTTATAGGGGAGGGAAATCCATTCATTAAAGACTCAATCCATCTTGAATCAGACGTATTATGATATATGGACTCGTATGTGGTTTATGGAGAAACATTTCAAAGTGAGACTCGGCTTAAAGACAACAAATAATGATAGATTAGATAGAACGAGACTCATTTAATCAACTTATAGGAAAATAAAATCCCAAAAATTGTATTCTTATTAGAAATATTTAAAAAATATATCTAAAATATCCCCACCATGGAACCGCTTGGGTCTTGAACGAAAACAAGAATAAAATCAAAGTCAAAGATTTCCTTGCTGAAAGAGTAACCAACAACACATCATAGGAATCATGGGAATCATGGGAGTACCACATTTTGAAGGCAATTACTCAAGTGAAAGCATAGTTCGGTTGGAACAGACAGCTACGATAGATCAAGAGACCCATTAAACCCATTCGTATTTCGTAGAGTGTATTTCACCTTTCTCGCCACTCGACGGCCCGTTCATCAGCCACACGAAATTATTTAAAAAGACATTAAAAATGACAAATACACAGTTGGCTGGAGCTGAGGCTGGGAGGGGGAGAGCTGGAGGGGGGGAGCTGGAGGGGGGGAGCTGGAGGGGTAAGGTGCGAGTGTTTTTCCCAAGCAATGAATGGCTTTGGGAGCAGCAACTTGCGACCTGGGACCTGCGACTCTCATTAAAAGTGGCTACAAAATGACCAACTGACCATTAATGTGGCACTCTCTACCCCCCATCCCCCACCCCCGCCCACCTTTGTGAGGTCTCAGCACCCTCGAATGGGAGCTGCGTGTAAATTTCAGAGTGACGCCCTGGAAAGTAATTTTAATTAGCCATTGCCACTCGCCAAAACAGACAATCGTGCCACCAGCCACCAGCCACCACCAACCAACCAACCACCCACTGGCCTCGACGGGGATGAGTGGGTGTGTGGGTGGGTGGGTGTGTGGGTGGGTGGGTGGGTGGATGGGTGTCACAGTGTGGTGGGAGGCGAGCAAACAACCCCCTGGGGATGAGCTTAAGTGCCTGAGGATGAGAGTCTCCCGCTCTTTCCCTCTCCCTCTCCGTCCGACCTATCTCCCTGTGTGCGTATCCTGTGTTTGGCTTTTTGAAGGTGTCGTAATTGCACTCAGCTCACTTGATTCTCGATAAAAGCGGAACACAGGGAATTCAGATTCAGATTCGGATTCCGAATGCAAACAAATTAAAAAGCACTTAACGATGGAACGAGGGGAGTCGCCAGAACAGAGGCAGGAGGCAAGGGCAGAGCCTGAGGAAAAGGAACGGATGGAGCAGGAGGAGGAGAGGCACAGCCAAGATCTTCCCTGGACTGGACTCCTTCTAGGCGCCATTCCTTGCCACTGTCTGTGTGAGATCATTTAGCAGTGGCAGTGGCAGGGGCAGGCGCGGTGGAGCACCCTGGCGGATCGGCGGATCGGCGGATCGGCGGATCAGCGGATCAGTCGTAAATTCTCAAATCTGACCCTGGCGTGTGGCGTCAGTCAAAGCGGATTCAAATTGCCCAAAAGAGTTTAACATCCTGTTGGCGGCTCTCGGCTCTTGGCTCTTGGCTCTCCTCTACCTGGATTTCCTCGGTCTTAATTGAGGTTTAACACAACATTTACCGCTTTTCGCTAATCGCCTTGAAGCTGCCGACTGCCGACTGTCGACTGTCGATGCCACTCTTTTGATGCACACTGGTTCGAAGGCAATACAAATTCAAGCTCCAGTCTCTGTTTTCGATCACAAAAGGACAACCAGACTTCAGCGAAAGGTGTCGCAAAGC